ATGATTGTATTTATTTACAGTACATCGAATTCATGCAATTCTTTACCTCCTCTATCTACAACAAACATCGATAAATGCTCATATACGTTCGAACACAATGAGACATATATACTAATTGATAAACATACTTGAACAATACCGACACGGTAAAAAAATACTGTCTTAGTCATATTGAAGTGATTTGAAATAATGTCTTTAGTATTAATAGGTTTTAAAGAAATCACTATCATGATAAGTACTTAGTTTAATGCAAATGTACATCGAAATGTTGGCGCTCTGATAATATTGGATTTAATAGATCACTGCCTTGTTTGCAGATGAATTGATCTTATGGTTTAATTCGGTACAACAATTGCCTGACGCCAGCGCAACTTTATAATCCATTGAGTTAATTTTGGAAGCTGACTTAGGCAAATATACGGAATGAAAAGGCATACCAAGTAGTTCAAATCAAGTAAATAGTCATTCTGAATTTCGACAAGAAAGTCGCTATAGCCTAGTGAATGTACGAGACCAACGATTACACATGGTGTCCAAGCAATTATATAAATGGTTGAAATAGAGAATAATTGTATTGCCATTCGTCGCTGATGTTGCCATGCGAATGATCGTTGAAGACGCCGTTTTTGTAGGGTAATTCGTACGGCAAGCACTAGATTAGCAAATGCAGTGACTACAATGGGCATTCCATTGTTAAATGCCCAGTCAAATGTACTTAGAAATGGATTGAAAAGAAGATAACAGTTCGCGAGTCCGCACAATCTTTCATTGAAATCCCATTGTGTATTATCACACGGATACAAAATAATGCTAAATAAATAAAATATTGAAGGATAAATGAGGAAGAAAACAAGTGGTAGATAATATAAAAGTATACGTGTTCTACGTATTCGTAGAAATTGTCCGTGAAATATTAGCATGTGCCGTTGAATAGAAATCGTAGCCATTAAAAGTTCGCCTGTAGTAAAAAGTGTATAATCGATGAAAGTCCACCATGTACAATAGACCGATGTAGATGGACTTACACGACCGAGGAGATAGAAGTGAAGAACTTGTGGTAGATCAAATATTACTTGAATAAAATTAACTATGAGTAGAATTAGCAGACTCTGATTCTGTGGAACTTTCAGCATAGATCGATGAATGGCAAAGAATACAAAAATAATTATAGATAGTATAATCGCTGGTATTTCTAACGTAAGTAGGATTGTAAATTTGATCCGATGTAATAGAAATTTTTCTTCATGAAACACTTCTGTTATACCACTATTGTTCATCGTTGTGACAGTTCAAGCTATAGATTCTACAAGATTATTTGTATTTGTATCATAATGAATCACTATGAATTGTTTTCACTGTCGCAATTGGTTTCTGACAGAACATGCCGTTTTTTTCTATAGTATTTCATCACAGAAACCATACTTACATATTTTCTTTCTCTATTTTCTACTACGCCATGATTAATACTATGTCATAAGGATTCGAGAAAATAAAAAAATGAGAAAATCCCAAGTAATACTTTTTTAAATTAGGCGCATATCTTTCATCAACCTTATGTTGTTCTGTGAATTGAATTGAGATGACAATTTGAACAAACAAACCATTCGGAAAAATTTATAGTTTGAATTGTGTAAATGAAGATCAATATTGAGGATATAAAAGTGATTTCGTCCATCGATCGCCAACTTGCTTATCCTTCTTGTTTGCTACAATTTTATTTTTGCTAATTATAAGATAAAGCTGTTGCTCTGATAGGTCGATGCTACCATCAACACCCATGCTTTCATTACCACAATATGTATTCGATTAATATTCTATCATTTACCTCTTGGTAAACATCATTATTCATGCAATGAACAAATATGAAAGAAAACATGAATGATAGCAATATCATAATAATTAATGATAATAATGTAGTTTAGTATAATTTTGCAGTGAATCTGGAAGTTTCAACCTTTTTCTGCTCAAGGGGAAAAATCAGACATCTGTATTTCTATACTTTTTTATGCTTCTTCATATTTCTCTAGACTTCTTGTACTTCGCCACAACCCTTGATTCTTCTCGACATGTATATGTGGTTCTATTTCGTTCTTAGGTATGTCTTTCACTCCAGAGATAAAAGAAAGCTATAGTCAGTTTCTCCGTATTATGTAGATATAGTGTTTGATTTAAAAAAATAAAAAAATAACGAAAGTAGCAGTAACAGTTGAAAATAAAGTACCAGTCCTCTTTTTGCGCTTTTTCTTTTGTACTATCATTTTTAAAGAGAAAAGAAATTACAGCTTTACTCTTTTTCATAATAACGAGCACAACACAATGGACTAACGCTGAACATTGAACAGAAACATATGCTAATATCATTTTTAAAAATCACGGTCATTCCTTGATAACAAAACCGGTAATGTAAGAATAGCATGCGAAATGAACTTAAATAATCTATGATGGAAATGAAATAGGAAAAATTAACTTGGATGCTACTTATTTTCTTATGGTTGTATTTATTTTTGCTGTTGAATAAATATATTCAGCTAACAAAAACTGTCTCATCTTACTGTAAAAATTAATATACTTCACGGTACTTGCACATACTTCATGATACTTCTCGATACCTCCCTATACTGCTTGGTACTTCAGGAGTACAGAAGTCTGCTTTTCTTTCTTGATTTCACGAGTTGTTCACAAAGTAATTTTTAAAAAAGGTCGTTTAACACGAAAATAAAGCTGTTTATTATTAAATGTAGGAAACGAATGGATGTGCAAAAATGATGAGAGAAATATGAAAGAGATATCATTAAATGGAACATTTCAGACCCTACAAAATGGGCTATTCGTCACATTCTTTTTCTCTTTATTTTTATACTTAGAAAATATCATTTTCTGTGCACATCTCCATATAAAATACGACTTTTTTCACAGTGTAAGACTTCTGAGCCATCGATATGATAGAGCAGTAACAAATAGAAAAATTCTCCGAATCGATCTATGAGAGCAAAGGTTATTATATAAATACAGCTAAAACCGCAACCGTACCAAAAATTTACAATTCATTCATATGTCACAAGATTGAAAAAAGCGCAATCTAATTCTCATCAAGAGTTCATGTCCAGAAGCGTTTATGTCTTTGATATTTCAGAATTTGAGGTTTCACTAATTAATGTTAAGCAAATTCAGAGATCTTAAAGTTTCATAAAAAACATACTAAATTGTAGTGCTCGATTAGCGCTTCTCGCGTAAAAGGCATAGATATCTGTATATGCATATTTATTATGATCATCAGCTGCTTTTACTTAACGTACACAATTCATATTCCAAAGCAGTTCGTTATTCACATAGACGTACTCGGAAAAAAGCTCTGAAATCTATGTGCATGTTCGCATTTATCATTCACATGGTGCATTGACAATAAGGGATCATATCTAGGAAATATGAAAAAAAAGCGTTAAGTGGTGAATATACTGAATATTTTTTTCCTCGTTTTTTGGGAGATATTCTTAAAGCGCAGAACTTCAACAGATATTTATAAACTCATGATTCTTCTACTCTGTCAAAATGGATAAATTATAGTAAGAGTAGCATTGCACCCGAATACCAGCATCGTAGATTAATAATAATGAATAATCTATTCACTTAAGAAAAAACACAAACCATATTGTTATTGTTTACTGAATGATTTTCTCTGCAATCTCTGTTGGATATAATCATAATCCTAATATTTACAATACGGACGAACGTGTCAAAGACGAAAAAGATTAGCCATTGACACTCTAAAGAAGATCAAAGTAGCTAGAAGTTCGTTTTTTGTTATCTGAAATACAAAATCGTGAAATGAAGCATAGTGCGATTATCGATTATAACGGTCACATTGCATGTGATGCTTTTTTTTCGATATGTACGTCTATATCAACCTCGAAGCCAACAGTATGAAAACACTACAACCGAAAAAAAAATCGAAGAAAAAACGAAAAAGCTTCAGAACTAGAAATATTTCATGATCATGAACGTTTAAAAATCTCCCGTTTAAATATATTACACTAAATCTTTTCGTGATTGTTTTATACTTTTTGTGCTGATTGGCTTTTATTCCCTCTTTCTCCTTGCTACTGAAAATTACACTTATCTATAATCGTCAGAGAAAAGGTCGGCAATTGTTATAGACGACGATCAAGTGGCGAGCTGGATGGAAAATACTGATTTAACTAAGACAAGATAGCATTCCTTGCTATTTTCTACAAAGTTTTAAATATCTAGGAGATATATGAGTCGTCAGAAACAATAGAAAAGAGTAAAACTATTGAAGAAATATCAAGCATTGAAAGAGAACAAAACAAATTTTGCTGGATCTTCCAGATTTTTCAGACAAAATCGGGATTTTGCAAGCTTTTGCGGAATCTTTATGGCTTCGCAAATTTTCCGAATTTCAGATACTTTCTATTTGACTGCCATTGCACTTTTCTTTTATTATTTATGAAAATTTATCAATGATTCGAAGAAGGCTCAATATGTTCTTCTTTTATTCAGCTCAAAAGATCAATTATTTTTCCTTCATTCTTCTAAAAGCAGTGCTCCTTTTTCTCTTAATCGAGGACACTAAATTAATTGAACGTTTTCTTGAGTACTTTACATTTATCTTTTTATTACAGTTGCAGAAAGTTTAATCAAAACGAAAAAATCGAGATTTATAGGTGGGTAGACATTTACATATGACACGTTAAATATCGAAACCTATATGGGTGTGTGTGAATGAACAAAAGGCATACATCCACAGCTCATCCACTCACCGGCACTCACTCCACACACTCACATCCATATCCATTCATTTGATCTTGTCGCAGATTGTTATCAATATAGCGAGGATCTTCATATACAAATAGGGCGGCTGCATTATGTCTCATACTTTAGTTCCATAAGGATTGCCTCGATAACTTTCATTGAAACAGAATATTTCACCAAAAAATAGAATTTTCTTTCTCGAATATAACAACGCATAATATATTACCTATTTAGTTTTGACACCATGTCTTACCTTTTGATAATGACCATAATATTGATTTACCATAGATAAATTCTCGTGCAAAGAAATCTTGAATTTGTACTTGCATCAGTGACCAAAACCCATCATTTTCCATAAGTGTATAGCACCATCCCAATAATTTATCACTATTTAATGATTTCATAATGCCGAAAAGTAAAGTACCAATACCACTTTTTGGTTTTTCTATATCAAGTCGTCGGTTAATATACTCAACACTATTTACCATTGCTGTTAGTCCAATATTGCCATAATAGTGAATACTATTTTCTTCATACATATTTTGATTGTAGCTCTATAAGATATACTTTTTTTTAAATCAGATTATAAAGCTTGAAAAACTCATTCTGATCCATCACGTCAAAGAGTTTTTAAATTTGACAATTTATTTTCAAATCTTTTAGAACATCTATAGAAAAGTACGGATAAAATTTTGCAAAGATTTTCCAAGATACATTACATTGAATTAGACAATCATTTACGTTTTGCCATGACGATACTTCAAAATGATACAAGGTTAGATATCAAACATTTCTCATGACAGTAATTGATTAATACTCATATTTAGAAATCTTCGCTTGTTATTAATTCTCTTTTTCTAAGCAAAAAACATGCGACATTCAAGTTTTTGTTACCGAAGTAGATATAAGCAAAATATCTCTCGGATGCTGAATATCGGTAGTCTAAAATAAAGACTGACGGATGACAAAGAAATCTTCACTTGTCGATGTAATACAATCGTTGCTCTCCTGATCTAGAATGACTTTTTGAACGAACTAGACGACTTCTGCTCGGTTGAAAATTTTTAGCTAATTGCTTCAGGTATTTAAATAGATATTAGCGAAATAATGCTTTATCACGTTCCCGACTATTAAACCTTTAATTATGAATATGTAAGAATTGTAATCTTATAAACTCTCTCAATTCTTTCCATCTATGATCAATTCAAATGTCTAATCAATTTTAAAAACAACTATCCTATCGAATACGATAACTGACCTTTAGTAAATCATGAAAGTCTTGCATGACTGCTTTTCGTTTGTCATCAGAACCATTCCATGGATTTGTACAAACAAGTGCAATAAAGATATTGAAATTAACACATTCACTAATTAATCCACGAATAAATTTATCATTAGCAAACGAACCTGGAGATGCACATAATGTAACACACATTGGATTTTTTTGTCTAACAATATCAATGATGGATGAATCCCATGTTTTTATTCCTTTTGTATCCCAAATATTAATTCGAAATGGTTGAGCATCGACGTATCTCTCATTTGTTTGTCTATCAGTGATTTCCGGAAAAGTACCTTTGAGTTCATAACATGTTGATTCTTGTGTTATAGGAGCTGGACCTGGACCAGTCTCAGCCAATTTTTTACCAATGATGGCGTTGATTAATGTACTCTTACCTGTTCGTGGAGCACCACAAACAATAAAAGTGAATTCTTGAAGTTTATTTTCGACATAGTTAGCTACGAATGAAGGATTATTATTTGTACATTCTATTTGTGATCTACGCAAGTTATTGGCACCGATCGCGACAGCAGAAGTCACTGCAATAGTTTTATTTCTGTCTCTTTTTTTCACAGTGTTTTCGCTGGCCATCGGTTCCTTTATATGTGAATTATCTAAAACGACTGAACATCATGTTTGAGATGCAGACACCAATAAGCATGGTTTTTTTTATGAATATCTTGCTACATAGAGCTTCATTATAATAAACACATGAAAAAACAAATAGTTAAAATATTGTTTGTGCACGTTTTGAGAAGAGAAAAACTTTTACGATTTGAAATTTTTGTCTCAAAACCATAGTTGACTATAT